CTGAGAAAACCACCTGTATTGTCAGTGTACACATGTGTACAGGTGTGAGGGGAGCCCTGAATGCAACAGTCAGCCCCCAAAACACATTCACTTTTCCAAAATAAAATTATTTTTTAAAGAGTGCAGAGAACTAACGGTATTAATGTGGGGAGAGAAGAAACAACAGTAAATTCTGTGTGTTTTGGGGGGAGCAGTGAGAGGAAGAATGGAGTATCTGAGATGGTTTTCACTAGATATTATAGCCTATGTTGGTTTTTTATGAGATGAAATAACAGGGAAGCAAGTGGAGCTATGGCTTCTAGATAACAGAGGCTTCAGCCTCCTGCCGAGGTCCCTCTTCTGCTATCTTTTCCTGTTTGCACAGAAGGAAATTCCTGAAAATTACTAGGGCTTTGTTTGGGGTTTTGGTTTTGGTTTTGTTTGACTGATTATTTTTTTTTTATGGTGAGGAGGGAATAGGCAGAGTTAAATCTGAGGATACTGAAAGAAAAGACTGTGGGGAGCACTGCTGGAAAAGAAGGAGTGACAGAGAAAGTCACTTAGGAAAGGGGAAGAAGATTTTCATGTGGAGAAAAGAGTAGAGGAGATAAATGAGAAAAAAACAGAGCAGTGTTTGAAGAAAGATGGAAAATGTGTGGCATAGGTGCCTCTTGCTTTACTTTAGGAGAAACTGCGAGAAAAGAATGTGATTTGGGAGTTCACTTAAGCTGCAGTGGAGCAGGAGAAAAGTCTCAAGAGGAATGCCTTGTCCTAAACTTCATGGGTCAAGATTACTAAGGGAGAAGAACATGGGACTTGTCGGAGCTCACAGCCAAGTGCCTCACCTGTGTGGCTGGATCTGTCTGAGTGAACAATGGTACCTTTTTGCAGAAAATCCTGCAGGTCCTTTGAAATAAGGCTTCCTATGGGTGAATCATGATATTTCCAAAATGGCATCAAAGAACTGGATATTTGAGCATATAGGTCAATGGGTTTTTTTTGCTCTTATGCTATGTTCTCTGATAAACAAGAATGTCGTGTAATTTTTTTTTTTATTTGGGGGGGGGCGGGGGGGCAGGGAAGGCAGTTTATGCTTTAAGTAGCATTAAACTGTGTGATCTTAAAGTGGTATGTGACCTGCAGGAGCTTTAAACTGTTCCTGGAAAGTGTGGGACAAACAGGAGCATAAAAGTAGATTTACTTCTTTTTTTTGTTCTTTCTCTGTGGAGAGATAAGAGAGGATACTCAGGAAAGTCTAACGGTACTTTTTATTATAAACTATCTCTGGCGTGTTCTTAATTCTTATTTGGTTTTGTGAGTTTTTGCCAATCTCTCATTGCAGGTTTTTCTCTAATATGCAAGGAGATCAGAGAAGGAAATGCAACTGTTTTACTGAGTTTGAAACAAAGTCTTCAAAATTTTTCAGGCAATGCTACTGAAAGCAGTAGGCCCTCAGAAGGATACTTGTACACTTTTCCTGAGATCAGATATTGACTCTGGTGGTTTGAGGATGCTTTGGTCCCACTACCCTCCCTGGTTGATTTGGTCTAGAATTTAAACAGAGGACTCCTACTTGACAGGAATATTCCTATGCCCCTGGGATCTCTTTAAGAGATCATTCATATTTTATGCAGTCTAAATAGCTATTTATTTTGTGTGTGTTGTAATTTTAAATTGTTCTTGCTCAGGCTGTTTTCAGACACAACCATCTCGTGTTCCCCTCAGCATGGAAGGACTGTGCATGCATGAGTTTCTAGAAACTCATGGAGTTTCTACTTCTGTTCCTTTTTGCTGCTTTCAGTAAAGGTTCTGCAGACTAAGGGTATGTCTTTCCTTTTTGCATGTTTAAAGGATATGTCTTTCCTTTTTGGAATATTTAAAGCTTTGTTAGTTACTGTCAAAAAGTGACAAGGAAAAATTAGAACTGAGTCTTTGGGATAAACGAGCATGCTCTTCAATTGATGGACCTGATCCTACCACTGTTATTGATGTGGACAGCCTGAAGATAGTTGCACTTGAGAAGCATTCCTTAACACGGAAGCAATTTTAGGGCTTTCACATGTTCCTACAGGCTATGGATTCTTAATCTAGTCTTGTGAAGAGGGAAGTGACAATCCTGTCTTATATGTAGAACAGGGTACAAGCTAACCTCTGGCTGCAGATGTTTGGGCCAGGAAAGCACAGTAACATTCTGGATAAGGCTAAGAATTAGTTAAACAAATAAATTAGGTTCCAATTCTGACATCATGCTCTGGAGTAAATTAGAGTTATTTCATCAGAGCTAACCAATTCAAAAACTGATGCTTCAGTCTTTTTTTACCATAAACAGAATTAATCTACCCCTTCTCCCAGCAGCATTCCATCAGCAATTTCCAATCTCTATTTACAAGAAGGTAGAGCAATTAAAATTCCTATCTAAATACACTATGTCTTTATTTATTCAGTATTTGCACATTTATAAGAGTCTGAAGTTACAGTTAGCAGTAGCCAGATGAGTACAGAGTCACAAGGAGCATCTTGCTTTTGGGGATTCCATAAGTGATCAAGGGATCAATGTTCATGCTTGGCTTAGGTGACAGCATTGGGCATGTGCAACATACTAGTACTGACTAATTTAAAACTGCACAATTTTCCTTCTTAGTGTGAAAGCATTCTAGGATGATGGCTTCTGCAGCTAGTTAGAAGCATACAAAGTAAAATGTCAGCAGCAGGTCTCCAAAGAATCCTATAGTTAGGTGTAAAAATTCATAATTAGGTATATTTGGAATTACCAAACCTTTATTAAACAGGCATTGGTCACCACTTGCTTTGGATCTACTATGTCCACCAAAGGCTCCTTCATGGCAACATCCCTAATACAGGTCATGTCAAAGCCGTACACATTCTCCCACCCTGTCAATGCAAATGGATGTGTCAAAGATTAGCAGTAATAATAAAAATATTTTTTGTTTCTCAAAGCATCTTTCATTTGAAAGAATTTCTGCCCTCCCTTAACTTTCCGCTCTCCTTTTTAGCTCTTTGCTACCTACCCCAGTTGTCTATGTCATCACTCATGTTTTACAGATAATGCAGTTGTGGCAAAATTACCCCTCAGTGTATATCTTTGAACAAGTGGCCCTTGTTTTTCAATGTCCCCAAAACTGTGTTATATGAGATTTGTTGATGATTTCCATGGCTTTGGACATTTGAGAGTGTTGCCCAAAATCATATATGTTAAGTTGAGACTTGGGAATAGCTGCTAAGATTTTTCTATACTTTCTTACCCATGCTGGTTAATATTTCCTTTTTTTTTTATAGATTGCTATTCAATCAGCAGTTTGCATACTCTTTTAATTATTTAAGTACTCTTAGTTTCATCAAGTCAGTTACTGACAGGAGCAGAATTACAAGTGTGTATCGATATTTGCAGCATCTAAGTTTTAATTTGCATGTACATCATTAGAAAAAGGCAAAATATCCACTTTCTAAAAGATTTAAAAGCCATGCTGATCTTCTATATGTGAACTGTTCTTCTGATTGTTCTGATAAATGCTTCTTATCTTGCTTAGGTTTTTTTTCCTTTTTTTTTTTTTAATTTAACAAAATTAAAACATTGAAACATTGAAAAGTACACTGGCTTTGCTTTTAAGATTACTTAACAAAATGAAAACAAACACCTCCAAAAAGTGAAATCTTAGTCTTATGAATCATATGAGTCAAGGTCCATTCAGTGCTCCATCTGAAAGTCTAAACTAAATACTGTGAACTTTTTAAATAATTGTTTGCACACAAGCAAGGTAAATGGATAAATAGCACTCACTGATAGTGAGCATGTTTGAGTGAGCATGTTTTGAGTGAGCATGTTTGAGTGAGCATGTCTTTTTTCAGAGCATACTATTTGAGCTACTGGTGTTCCCAGAGGACTATGACTGAATATGTAGTATAGCAAAAAATGTGCATATTTCTAAATTGGAGCAAATTTGGACATGAACATTTCTTTGATATGTTATACATTCATTGGGCTGTGAGTTTCTCAATATTTAAGAGGAGCTGGTGATCAAAACTTTCATTTCAGGCATCATGAGCATGTGGGAACTCCAGATTATATTTATAGAAGCCATATGTTTTTATGTGGTTACTCAGAAAAGATTAACTAGGAAACCCTGAAGGAACAATTTATTAGCAGAGTTGTTGGGGTCTCCATCAGTTGATGTACTTCAGCCTGCATGGGATGCCTTGGAAATATATGCCACAGTCTGTATTAGAGAGAGACCTATCAAAGGAGTTAAAAGATCAAATTGTCTGTTTTACATTTGCAGGAAATCAGAGTAATTGACTATAGCAATGACTCTGTGGCATTAATAAAGTCTGAGAAATCAGAATCATATTTTTTTGTATTGCATTATTTCTTAATCTATATGATCGTTCTTGAGTGCCCTTTGAAATGCTTGGCCCTGTATCTCATATGAAGGCAAGACTCTATCCACCTTAAGAGAGGAAAAGGAAAGATGAAAAACTGAAATGTAAGGAGACACCATCAAGGATTTAGAAACTGAAAAGAGAGACAACATGGTGGTGCAGATAGGTAGTGAGATGGAAATAACTGAGAAAGACACAGAGGTATAAAAAGTGAAGGAGGAAGGGAAATCAGAGGTGAAATCAGAAAAAAAAGGAGTCTTAAACTGGAAACAACATTTTAGAAGAGAAAAAGAACCCAAAATAGTTTTTTTAAAACCGATGAAAAAATAAGCAAGTTGAAAATAGCCGTCTGTAAGAAAAGAAAAAGGCTTGAGGCCTGGAAAGGAAAGGGTTCAAAAGCAAAGGTGGCAAGTGAAAGAAGGCAAGTGGATTTTTTTAGGCCAAAATTGTTTTGATTCCTTTACCGAATGGATGCCTCATACATCCTTTTGAATTTATCAGTTTTGTAAGGAATTCAGCTGTCAAGGTCACCACATAACTGAGGAGAAAAATCTAGGCTGTGCTTGAGGAGTTGATACAGTTCTCCCTGGCACCTACACAGACTTATTATCATGCACCACTGCACTGGGCTTGGTTTTGACCCCAAATGGTGGTTATGACCTGTGAATACAGATCCATGTATTCACTCTGAATTTGATTACAGAAACACCAAACTTTCTTTCCTGAGTGGAGCTGAGAAGCAAGGAATGAGGAGTTAGGCATTTTCATTTGAAGGTTGATCAAACCCACTAATTTGACCCAAGCTTTTGCATGCATCCTTAATTAATAAAACTGCTTACAAATTTTGTGATTCCCCCCCCGATAGAAAATATTGACTAGCTCTGAAAAATAAATAAAAGCAAAAAAAAAGAGAAAAAAAAAAGGAAGAGTGAAATAATGTAGAACGTACTCATTTAATCAAAACTATTATGACCAAATAAATAAAAACTTGGGTGACTTGGGAGACAACAAGTTGAATGTGAACCAGGAGTATGACCTTGTGGTGATGAAAGTGAAGCACATGCTATGATATGAGGAGCGTCCAAGAAAACTAGGTTTGCTTAGCCTGGGACAGCAAAGGCTAATGGTGGGATCTAATTGCTATCTGCTGCTACAGAATCAAACAAAAAGTCAGATTCCTGTCAGGAGACAAGGGACAATGAAAGCATGTTTCATCAAGAAAAATTCTGACTGGATATTCAAAAACATGTTTACTCCTGAGCGTGCTTCAGCATTTGAGCAAATGCTCAGAGAAACTGTGGAATTCCCATCTCTTGACTGCAGGGCAGGGCCCTGGGTGATCTGCTTCAACTGTGAAATCTGGCCTGCTTTGAGCATGAGGCTGTACTAGGTGACCTGTTGAGGTCATTGACAGCACCAGTTATTCAATGAAACTTCAAGGAAAAAGGCCCACCATTTTAAATGTAAAGGAGAGGTCAATTTTGTGTATCTACGAAGTAAACCAAAAAAGTTCAGAACTTTTTTCACGTCAAAGTAAAATGGAAATTTCTGATCCTTATTCTCCATTTTAAAATTCTCACATAAAGTGTTTTAAAAAGTTTTTAAAAATTACATGTTTTTGTCTTCTTGACAAGCTTAGTAGTGAGATATCATTTTATCTAGGCTAATTTCTTAACATTTACATTCTTTACTTAATTTTTCTGTCCTTGTTATTTTAAAAACAAAACCAACACCTGGATGGCAAAAGAATATTGCCAATTATAATGGCAGTTATGTGAGATGATTTATTAATCAGAACAACAAGAAAATGAAATCTCCTAAAATACACATTTTTAAACAGAGGTAGAGGTATCAATATAATTCTAAGCAAGGTCTAAATCAATTTATTCATGCACCACTTTAAATTACTGCAATTTTCCTGAATTTATCACCATACTAGAGTTTTCTCAGGGTTCATGTTTATATTGGAATTCTGGCCTGGACAGCATGATTTCCTGGCTATGGCAAAACTTTGCCCATGAAGAGATGACAGTAGGCCATTATGAATCAAATATTTTAGGAAAACAACCATAGAGAAGGGTTACTGTTAGGCGTTTACTCACAGTGAATTTTGAAGTCCTTGTACTGTCTGTCTTCAATTGCTACCACGTACAAAGCAGCTCGGTCTGGAAACATTAGCCCTCCAGGTTTCTGTTGATGAATTGTGGGGAAATGGATCTCGTAATCTATTCACCTGACAAAGACATCACATTTTGAACTGCACATACAAAAACCAGACAAGCACCCCTTGCATGCCTTTTATTGTTTTCCTTCAGATTGTCACATCAGCTTTAATCTCAGCACCTCCTGCAGCCTGTGGCAATGTCATGAGATAGCGTCAGTATTAATTTCACCAGCAGTTAATCAAAAGCAAAGCTCGTTCACTGAGATTCTCTTTGTTAATCTTTTCATTAAAACCTAAGAAAAGGCACTTGGAGATGTAACTATGTCTTGTTATGGTGACAGTAGGAGAGGGAAGGCTTGTAGTCAGAAAATAAATGATGATTACTCCAGCAAGGAATATAACATGCAGAGCACCTACCAGCCACTTGTCTCGTGCGAAGATGACTGTGTTTAACATTGACTCATAGAACAGACAGTAACCCATCCACTCGCTGATGATGATGTCTACTTTATCCACAGGTAATTCAACTTCTTCCACTTTACCTTTAAATATTGTGATTACTGAAAAAAAAATCCAAAGAAACACATTCACATAATAAAACAGCTGACTAAGTTCCTTACTGGTGAATATCAGGTTGACCTTTTCAATACTATTCTCTTCTTGAATGTCTGTAGATAAGGAGTGACTCCATGTGACTCAATGGATCTTGCACTATTTTAAAAATACTTGCAGTAAGTATAATATTGATTATATTTTGTATCAGTTTTAATACTGATATAACATATATATTTATATCAGTTTTAATACTGATATATTTTTATACTGTTTTAATATCAGTATAAAAGGAAAAAAAACCCAAACCAAACCAAATAAAAACCCCAACCAAATCAAACCCCAAACCAAAAAAACACCCATGTATAAAAGAACAACAGAAAAACAAGCCTTACCTGGTTACCTGCATGATCTCATTTTACATGTGCTTTGGAATTTGGAATATTTCTAGATCATTGACCAAGAAATGCAAAGAATCCACCCAGAATCCTTTAAACACCCCTGTAGGGTTACATATTCATGATCTCATCACTGATTTATTAGAGATTTATATAACTAGGATCTAATTCTCATCTGCTTTTCAAACATATTCTGCTGGCTTCACAATGAGGACACTAAGACTTATTTCTTCCATGAATTCTGGGGAGCTGACTCAACTCAGAAAGTCAGATCTAGCCTGACAGTACACAAACAAGAAAGGCTGTACAAACACGGTTTTCATGAAAAATCAGTTTTCATTCCTTTCTGCCTCATGTCTGAATCTTTTATAACATAATGGTATTATCACTCTGAATCTTTTATCCGGTTTAGACTCCTGTAACTTTCCACAGTTATCTAAAGTGACTGCTGGAAAAATTATGTCAGCTTTTTTGTCACCAAATCAGTTTCAAGGAAATTAAAAAGGTTGCTAGAAATTTGATGCGCATTAAATTACTGGCAATATGATATACTACTTACAGGAGACTGGGTATGCATTGCAAAAGCAAATCAACAAGCAATTAATAGAACTGGTTGATACTAGAACAGATATTTTGTTTAAAGGAAAATTAAATGCTGGTCCTTATTTAGTTCAGTTGTAACAAATAATTTCATTTTATGATTACTACACAATTCAACAATCATTCTTACATTCTTAAAAATATATTTCCTATTTATAAAGGTATTCCAAATTCTTTAGAAAAATAATTTTCAGCTTGTGTTTGTCTGCTGTTTATATTGTTTGGGTAGAATCTCTGATTTGGTTTCTTCCTTGACATTGTAACTGATGTACTTGAAATTCAGGAATAAAGTGAGTAGGGAATATTTTACTTTCCATTACTAATTGATAAAGTTATTCTTAATAAATGACAGTTTTTAATGATGGCAATTTTTATTGATGAAAGTGGTCAACATTTAGTTTGAAGACAATGAAGGTGCTTTCATTAAGCTAGAACTAGGATACCTGTTTAAGAGTGGCAGTGGAAGTTCTAAAAATCACTCAGCCCAGGGAAAATGAGGTTTTGTCTTTCCAAAATACATGAGGTACTAGTATTACTCTAACCAGATATGGTCATCTTATATGCATAGCAAACTTTTAATCCAGACTGGCCCCCCTAAGAAATTTGAAACACTCTGATTCAGACTGGTAAGATGAAGTATCAACTGGTAAGAGCAACCTGATTGGAAAAGAGCTGCATCCTATTCCCCTTCCCATTCTTTAGAATCATAGAATCGTTTGGTTGGAAAAGACCTTTGAGGTCATCAAGTCCAACTGTACCTGTCCACTACTAAACCATATCTCTGAGCACCCCATCTACCCATCTTTTAAATCCCTCCAGGGATGGGGACTCAACCACTTCCCCAGTCTGCCCATTTCAATGCCTGAGAACCCTTTCAGTGAAAATTTTTTTCCTGATATCCAGTCTGAACTTCCCCTGGTGCAACTTGAGGCCATTTTCTCTTGTCCTATCACTTGCTACTTGGGAGAAAAGACCCACCCTCACCTTGCTACACCCTCCTTTCAGGGAACTGTAGAGAGCGAGAAGGTTTCCCCTCAGCCTCCTTTTCTCCAGGCTCAACAACCCCAGTTCCCTCAGCCACTCCTCATCAGACTTGTTCTCAAGGCTCTTCCAAAGCTCTGTTGCCCTTCTCTGGACATGCTCCAGCATCTCCATGTCCTTGCTTTAAGCTCCTTCCTTTCACAGTTAGTAGCTCAATAGTTCATATTTTGTTATGCTGGAAACTCTCAATGTGCTCCAGCCACGTTCTCTTTAGTTCTCTTTTCTCCTGAGAACTTTCACTGCTGCAATTCTTCTGGAATGAATTTTTAGCACTGTTGACAGCTGCCAGAGGGACACGCCTGCAGAATTTGAAGCCCTTTGTTTATACCTAGAAAGTTCCTCCCACCTCCCTTCACTTTGATAAAACACTTTCATAAAGCACCATGTGGGAACAGATTGTCCTCTCCCCAGCTGTATTGTATCTGTTCTGGAAACTGAGTTTTCTCTGCTTTCAGCCCCTTTTTGCTGACTCTTCATTTCTCTAAACAATTAGGGGGAAAATAAGAAAAATTCCCGTGAGCAACAAGATCCTTTGGTTCAGTATCTGGTTGCATTAAGACAAAAGTGAATGTGGGTCACTGTAAAGTATGTAAGTGTGAATGTTAGTTCAGGTGTGTAATTTGTTTATATTGGAGACCACCCTGCAGTTGAACA